GGGCTTGGAAGAGGAGTAGAAAAGAAGAGTAGGATAAGTATGCTACATTGAAGGGAGGCTGGGGGTGGCAGCAAACACTAACAGACTTGGTGACAAAAATTCTCATATTCCTATTAATGGCATATACAATTACCACTGGTATTGGATCTATCTCTCAGCCACCATTTCATTGGCTCTCAGATTGTGCTCTAATCAGTGTGTGTGAAGATCTCTGTTCAAAATTGCTGGGGAGAAGGCAGCACTGACTAAAACTGGAAGAGAAGGATTATTGATTGAGATCTGGGGGACAGCTACACTTGAATCACACACAAATATAAAAAGCAGGCAAAATTTTCATCTGGGAGGGGTAGGTGACTGTCCTTTAATCAGAAACATGACCTAAAAAACTAGGATTGCTTAAGAAAGGTAAAGAGCAGGGGAGATGGGAAGGGAGAGTCCAGTGTGAAACAAACTCACTAATAGCAATATACACACATTAAAAATGATACACATAGAAATATGGAAACACAGCTAACCCCTTTTGCTCCTTTCAGCCCTCCATACATGTGATAAAAAGTACTCACAAACACATGTCTGATATCCACATATTTTCTGAAGTGACCACTATAACTAGGCTTCTGGCTAGGCATGTTGTATATGTACATTAGTACTAATACAGCACTACAAAGTAAGTAATATTAGCTTCATATTGTAGATAAGGTTTGGAATCTCCAAATGGTCAAACTTCTCTAAGATCACACACAGTTACAAAGGAGGATGACTTTGAACCCAAGTATGTCTGATTCCAAAGCCTAGATGCATTTCTACTCATACCATAAACATTGCCTATCTTTCCTGGAAAGTGAGGGTGGATTTGAAGTGAGAGAGAATAGATAGTTCACAAAACCACAAGACATTTCAATGATCCAGTTTGTGTTTTCACAGAAATATTTGTACATGGTACAGTATGGGCAGCAATATGACATCTAAGAGACGGACACCGAATTCCATCAGTTCCCCAAGCCACATCTCTTTGCTAGAACTGCAAATAAAGCCGCTAAAATTTAGCATCTTTCATTAAGGGAAGAGCAACACATAACAGACAAAACTATTAATATTGCTCAGATCTGTTGAAATAAAGTGACCTTCTACCAAATTAAAAATTTCAGGGATACGCACCAGGAGGAGAAATGATTTCAAAACTAAGCAGGTCAGAAAGGAAAAACTCAGCATAAAAGTCTCTTGGTAAGTCACAGATACTTGTCAGAGCCAAGTTACATCTGATGAATGCAATGCACAGAGTGCCACAACTTACCCATTGTAGATACTTGATGAATGTTTATTTTAAAATATTTTATTGATTATGCTATTACTGTTGTCCCACTTTTCCCCATTTCCCCCTCTCTACCTGGTACTCCTTTCCCTCCAGCAATCCTCCCCTTAGTTCCTGTCCATGGGTCATGAATGTAAGTTCTTCGCTTCTCCATTTCCTATACTATTCTTAACATTCCCCTGTTTATTTTGTTCCTACCAATTATTCTTTTTTTAAATTTATTTATTTATCTTTAGAGGGGAAGGGAAGAGGAGAAGGAGAGGAGAGAAATATCAATGTATGGTTGCTTCTCATGGGTCCCCTGCTGGGAACTGGCCTGCAACCCAGGCATGTGCCCTGACTGGGAATTGAACCGTAATCCTTTGGTTCGCAGGCCCATGCTCAATCCACTGAGCTACATCAGCCAGGTACCAATTATTCTTTTTAATCCCTGCACCATTTCCCCCATTCTCCCCCTTCCCCCCACCAGCTGATAACCCTCCAAATGATCTCCATACCTATGATTCTGTTCCTGTTCAGGTTGCTTAGTTTGTTTTTGTTTTTTAGATTCAGTTGATGATAGTTGTGAGTTTATTGTCATTTTAATGTTCAGAGTTTTATTCTTTTTTTCCTTAAATAAGTCCCTTCAACATTTCATGTAATAATAGGTTGGTGATGATGAATTCCTTCACCTTTGCCTTGTCTGGGAAGCACTTCATCTACCCTTCTATTCTAAATGATAGCTTCGCTGGATAAAGTAATGTTGGTTGTAGGTCCTTGCTTTTCATCACTTTGAAATACTGCTTGGCAGACCATTCTCTTTTTTTAATCTTTTTTTTAAAAAAGATTTTACTTATTTATCTTTAGAGGGGAAGAAAAGAAGAGAGGGAGAGAAATATCAATGTATGGTTGCCTCTCGTGTGTCCCCTGCTGGGACCTGGCCTGCATCCCAGGCATGTGCCTTGACTGGGAATCGAACCGCGATTGTGTGGTTTGCAGGCCCGCACTCAATCCATTGAGCTACACCAGCCAGGGCCATTTGCCCATTTTTTAATTGGGTTGTTAAATCCAACCCAGCCAGGGCTTGGATTTAAGAAGTTATTTTGGGAAGTCCCAAAGGGAAGGGAAGTCTAAACGTACAGTTATACAATGAAACCTAGCAAATGAATCTTCTCATTTTATCTGTGTATCTTTCATAAGTTTAAGATGGTTATGTTGACTAGGTTCCACTTAAAGGTGAGATCATATGGTATTTGTCCCTCACTAGCTGGCTTATTTCACTCAGCATAATGCTCTCCAGTTTCATCCATGCTGTTGCAAAGGGTGGGAGTTCCTTCTTTCTCTCTGCTGTGTAGTATTCCACTGTGTAAATGTACCATAGTTTTTTATCTACTGATTTACTGATGGGCACTTAAATATTCTAGATACAAGTCCTTTGTTGGACATGTGATTGGAAAATAGTTTCTCCCATAACTGATTTTCACAGAGCAAATGTTTTACATTTTGGTGAAGTCCAGTTTATTTATTTTATTTTTATTTTTGCCCTTTTAATTTAATTTAATTTTTTGCTTTATTTTAAAATTACTTTATTGTTGTTCAATTACAATTGTATGCATTTCTCCCCCACAACTCCCCCCAATGCCAGCCAATCCCATCTCCCTTCAGTTTGTAAATTTTACTTTTATGGATCATGCTTTTGGTATCATATTGTTATATGGTTGTTATATGACACCTTTGGAAGAACATTCCCTGTGAAGTTTTTTTTGCTATCATTCATGCCTTTGGAATTTTTTACATGTATGCGCACATGTGCTGCCTGGCTTAACTAAAAGAGTTTGAGCTTGTTGTTTATGAATAATTACTAATGCATATGTACTACTATGGAAAGCATAGAAACAACTCATGGAGCTGAGTATAATACTACAAAATATATTATCTAGCAAGAGTTTCTTTTTAGATTATTTTTAAATGTATTTTTTCAGTAATAGTGGACATACAAAATTATATTTGTTCAGGTGTACAGCGTAGTGATTATATACTTATATACCTTATGATGTGATAACCCCAATAAGTCTTGTACCCATCTGGTACCATGCATAGTTATTACAATACTTATTCACTATATTTATTTACTATGCCTGATGTGAATAGGGAAGAAATGCCTCATAAAATGATAATTCCTCTTCAAAGTTTACTGTTCTCCATTTAGAAAAATATACAAAAACATGACTAGTATATACACAATATTATATAAATCTGTAAAACTTTTGTATTGAAAATTTCCAAATTTTGCCTTAGGCAAAAAATCTGATATTCTTTTGCTTATAAAAGAAGCAGTATATATTTTTACAGAAATGAAGACCTGAGACCACTGCACAACTAATGCTTGACATGCCTACTTTAGTAAGGCACCAATATGATTCAAAATTCAGTGAAATGGAACTCATAGCAGGGCCTTGGTTTTAGGTGTTCCATATGAGGACAATCAGATTTCATGAGTTTATACTGCCAATCACGGACTAGTTGTCATTATCAGCTCTTGAAATTTGACTTGCCTTAAGGTAGGGCTAGATCTCTGATATCTTGCCTTTGTTTGTGCCATTATTTGATCAGTTTCAGTTGTTGTTTGCACAACAACTCTTTGAGGTCAAGGAAAACAGAGTCCAGGTGTTGTTCAGATTCCCAGTGGGAAATTCTCTCAGAGTGAGGAATGAGGGGGCAGTAACCCACCTTTTCTAAACTCTTTTCAGTAATCCTTCAGGACACAAATGCTGCTTTTTTCCCCCAAAGGAGTGACTTAAAGATGATCTAAAAATAATAAAAGTACCGAATAAACCATCTCTATGCCAATCCAACCTCAGATAATCATGGTGGAAAGTTTATTTGGAACCCTTAAGTAAAAACATCAGCAAAAATCCTTTGACCCTTGATTAAATGCAAAATAAATAGATCTATAGCCACCGGGACAACTCAAATGCAGAAGCTATTTGTGTGGTATTTCCAAACATTGAAAGAGAAATTAGGCATTCGGCAGGGGTTATCTCTTTTTGTTGTTGTTGTTTTCTTTTTAACCTTTTACCAAACCTCCTTTTTCTCCTCTTTTTCCATCCCACCCCCTGTACCTCCACCTTTAGGCTTTAGCCCCAATAACTTTCCCTAGATCTCAAGTGGCTGATATGAATTTAGGCTATATGATCTTCTGGGAACTCCCATTAGAGTTCTGACCTGAACTGATCCTTTTTGTAATCAGCTCAGTCTTCTTAGGGACATCTGAGGGTGGGAAGTGCTTTTTAAACAAATTGCTCTATTAATTCTGCTGAGACTGCCCCTCACAGTACTTGACTAAAAAATATAATTCTAGATCCCTACACAGAAATACTAACTTACAATGGTAGAAAGAGAACACATACATTAGCAGGGGTAAACAAGTATGAATGAGTAAGTATGAATGTGCATAAGTATATAGCAAGTCACAGATGCTCTCAGTAATGCACAGAAGGAGTAAAGTAGAGAGTGGTAAGCTTCAAAATAGATTCTCCTATTCTCCTTAGGGTCTGTAAAGTCTGCATAGTTATCAAGGGCTCATAATGAGCATTGGATAACCAACAACTCTTAATAGTGATGACTCAGATGATCAGGTGCCTACTATGAGTCACTGTGTAAGGTACCCCAACAGTGAATCAACCTGCATTCTACAAAGGCTAAGGGCTTTTATCTTGCTCCCTGACCTGGAACTCCCCCTTCAGGATTTTCTAAGAATGGTCTCATTGCCCCAGAGGAACAGCAGGGATCTGTGAAGTTGGGAGGGATGGGGAAGTGCCTCTGTATTCACTCTGACAAAATAATTGTCAGGGTATTTGAATTGAATGGTATCTTTACCTACAGAGAGGCTTTGGGCCTTTTCTTCTACAGCAAAAGCAAGATTAGGTGTAGATCATTATAGTCAGTCCACAGCCTCAACATCTGCTCACAGTAACTCGTTTTCTCACAAAGAGTATCAATTTCCTTCTTTGTTGAGGCCACCACTGCTCTGCTACTACTGGCAAGAAGTCCAAGTTCTGGAGTGTGAGTAATATGCTAAACCACATGGTGACACCAAAACCCAAGTAGTATGTACCCCTTAGGATGGCAGTCCTGAGAGTAGATGGAAAGTAGATAGAGGAAGTCACAGCATCTGAGATATTATCCATTTTGAGCCTCCTCTACTCCCTCACTCCTCCCACTTTTCCTCTCCTCATATGGAAGCTGGGAAAGACCTGCCCAAAGGTGATGGACTACCCAAGTGCCCCACCAATAGTCATCACATAAAGGAAGTGTCTGCTCTGTTGTTGGAAGCCTTGATTGAAACAACTGTTACAGAGTTCTAAAAGATACTGTAGTAGAACCAGAAGACGCTGAGGAGAGAGAAAGGGCTGACTACTGCTTTGATTGTTTATTTTCCCTTCCTCTATCCCAGAGTTAAAAAGCTGCATGCCAGAGAACAGATATCGTATACTGCCCTGAGCAAGGAATGCAGTGGGTCATGCACATACCCAAGTTACCAGGCTCCTTAGAGAAAATAGCCAATAATAAAGCACTCTGGCCTCAAGAGCTGAGTTGCCTGACAACCACCCTAGTGCTACCATTTATTCTATCAGTATGATGCCCACCCTTGTTCAGACACACAGAGTGTACAGTGATTCAACAGCTTCTACAATGAGTTGAAGCTTTCATGCTTAATGTCTCCAGATACACTTTTTGCCCATGAAAGTCCCCCTGGAAATCAAGAGTCTGTTCCTAGTATTAAGCCTAGGAAGGATGATGAGGTCCATGTGTTACTTTTTCTTTTTTCTCTCCCAAATCATAGAAAATGTACATATCACCTTCTGAAATATGGCCTTGAAAAACAAGGTGCATATTTATAATCCTTCATGCTGGAATGTAGTGCAGGTGAGAGTGATAACTAATTACACATACACATGGCTCTAAATAATTAGTGTGGGGGCAATCTCTTCCATGTTTTTATTAAAAAACACTATTCTTGAGGCCAGCGCTATTCACTTCTTGTGCCAGGTATTTTTTTTCATACCTTTGAAACTAAGATTTAGATATGAGTCAATGTGTTAAAGGTATTCTGTTTCTGTGAGTTGCTAATTAGAATAGCCTGCATATACAATCTCATTTGCTAGAGGCCCAAGGCCAAGTCATGCTATATTTCTGTGTGTCTTGGAAGCTTCTCTTAATTGTCTGGGCTTGTGGTGACCTCACCTCATCATCTATTGGTTGTTGAGTTTCCAGCTTTCGTTTATATCTCACCACAGTGACAACTCAGATAAGTGGAGGTGTGATGAGAGCTCAGATGTTGATGCCGTAACTTTTGTATCAAAAAGTTAGGGCATTGCCGTGTTCTATTGGTGGGTTTTAAGTGGCAGCTTTTTTTCTACTGAGTGTCAGCTGTGGACAGTACTTGATCCTGTTGCCGGTTGATACATAAGCTAAATTTGCTTTACACTTCCCAGAAGTGCAGTGCTGCCTCTGTATTGACATTTATAATCATTTGCCTGTTTTCTGAAGTGTATGCTTAGCAAACAAACATTTAATCACAGCAGTATCTAAATGACTATCCCTGAAAATTAAATGTTATTTAAAATTATTGAGTCTAAGATTTTCCCAGAGGATAAGAGACATGCCCTGCCATAAGCCTCTTCCATGAAATCTCAAGGCTACTTGGCATCATGGATTAAACACCTAAGTCTGTCTTATTTTCACCTAGTAATGGAAAGTTAGTTATACTTATTATCCATTATAAAAAGGCTTAGGATCTTGGAGACCTTGCCAAAGCAGCCAAACCTGATGTCAAAGTTCAGATCTCTTTATACTAGCAAATGTGTTGTAATATCAGTGCATAAACAAAATATCTTTGATCTATCCATTTATTCTCAGAGATATAAATCCATGCATCAGAAATTGTGTCTGCCATGCTATAAAGCAACCTCAAATTACAAGGAAATACTAGGAAAATATAGGTGTCAGTATTCTTTGATAGCAGCTTCAAAACAATATTTATCCAAAAAGGGTGGGAGCTTTGAAATTTAATGACACTTACAGTATGTAGTTTTCCATGTCAAGGAAAAAAACCTATATAGATATTGAATTAGTACCACTCTTATCTGCTTGAAAAACCTAGGAGAAACTCCAAGTGAAAAGAACTTCTTTAAAAACATAGAATTCTATAATTAATTACTATTAATGAATATCTGTGCCCTACCAGTATGTTATGGCAAAAGGAGAAAACTTACTGTGAAAGAAGTCAGAGAAGCACATACTGAGTGCTCAAAACTACCATTGAATTGAATTGCATGTCTCTCTAATAACATGCCCCTTTAATCAGAGAACAGTAGTAAGTAAAGGACACACATGACTCTGATGTTAAGATACATTGTTAAGAAGCAATGACAGCCACCTTTTTTGTTTCCACGTTTTTGTTGTTTTGCACGGGGCACTCACCCTTTTGAAGGGGAAGGGGAGCAGAGGCAATGAGCAAGTATAGTACATTCTTTAAAAGAAACCAGTATCTTTCACATCATACCCTTTTAAAAAGAATGGAATAGGTATCAGACACCGAAATAAACACTTTACATGCCATTAATTCATAAAACAACCCTACAAGGTGGAAATTATTAGTTTCATTTGATAAATGAGGAGCATGAGATTTGGAGAGGTGAGTAGGGGGTCTTTGTCCAAGGTCTTAGAGATAGGGAATGAGAGAGCTGGGCTTTCAACCTGAATGTGTGTGACTCTAAATCCCACTATATTACAGTGCAACTCCCACAGTTAGTTCACGCAATCCCTTCTGCAGGTAGAAGCAGATTTTAATAACTCCATTTTATGAACAGGGACATAGGACAGAGAAGTATTACTCCAAAGAGTCTAAAACATTTTCCCTTCTACACAATTCAGTTGTTAAAGGGGGAAAATGAAAAACAGAACTAGCTTCCTTCACTAGACTCCTACCTTAGAAAAATCTCCACCCAAGGATATCAGTCTTAATGACATATGACGTGCAGGAGGTGGTATGCAAGATGATCCAACTTGCTGTGGCAGCACCACATTGTGGCAGAGATTAAAGTAGAACACAGAACTGTGCTGTGCTTATTAAAAACAGGACTAGGAAGGCAGAAAACTGTGTTTGACCCTGTCTCCATACACTTTATTTGTTTTTAATGAACTAATTCCACTTTATATTGATGTCACAGTTATTTTGAAGCTGTACAAAGTACATTGCAGAATTTATAAGGACTTAAAATGATTTCACACCTAGAATTGCATTTGTTTTAAAGATTTTATTTATTTATTTTTAGAGAGGGGAAGGGAGGGAGAAAAAGAGGAAGAGAAACATCAATGTGTAGTTGCCTTTCTAGCACCCCCTACTTGGCACCTGGCTTACAACCTAGGCATGTGCCCTGACTGAGAATCGAACCAGCGACCCTTTGGTTCACAAGTTGGCACTCAATGCACTGAGCCACATCAGCCAGGGCTGCACCAAGAATTATAAAGCGCTTCCCAGATATTTCATGGTGAGAAAGACACTTATTTACAAATGGATAAATAAGAAGTGAGGGGTTAAAGGACTTAACTAAAATCACAATGGCACAGCTAGGAATAGAATCAGTCTTTTAAACCTCAGTTCTGGGACCCAAACACTAGACAAGTGTGTTTTTAAACTCTGAAGAACTGTAGAACCTTTTGAGAATTCTGATCTTAGGAAGTCCCAAATTACTTAGGTGATGAATCATTATTATAAGCATTTAAATGCATTTTTTAACACTAAAAAATATAACCATTACAACCACCTTAAAATTGTGGGTTTTTTTAAGCTTATGAATTTGGTTAGCTTTAAAGAATGTAAATAGTCCTGAAATAAAGTCTGGTTGCCCTCATTATCTCCCTTTGTTTAGAGGAACCTAGATTATTTCTGGGCTTTAAAGAGCTGCTTTGAAAATCTTTTACTAACTAGCCTGTCATGTATTAGGGATTGGTTTTGGAGTCAGGAGCCTTAAGTTTGAATCTTGCTCTGATCATTACTTGAAGTGGCCTTTAACCTTAGTTTTCTCACCTGCTTAATTGGGATAAAACCAATACCACACACAGGGTTGGGGCAAGAATCTAAGAACATAGAACATGGGAAATGTGGAAGCATTGTAGAAGGCTTTAGGGTATTATATAAAAATCAAGTGGAAGTCTAGAAAGACTACCACATTTTATGGCTATAACAGGCCTGATTGGGAAAGGTCTCTGATGGTTCAGTCTGAAATTCCAATAGTATCAGTATACAAAGGAATTTGATGTGCAATAGTGTTTCTTACATGCGTGACAAGGTCTTCCTAAGGTATACCAAACAGCAGGCAGCAAACTAAGACTGAAAGATTATCATGAATACCAAAGACTGCCTCTCAAAACTGGCCTTGTATGAAATGCATGGAGGAATAGATTCCCTTCTCAGACGAAGGCATCTTTCAGCCTCACTGTGGTCCTTATGCTCTCACATTAAAGAAAGATGGTGTACTGAAGTGGGTAGTTCAGGAATGGAACAAAAGCATCCTAAACCCTCCAATAGCACTAAGAATCCAGGTAGAGTTTGCGAAAAGAGTGAATTGCAAAGTAGAAAGAAAATTAGAAATTATTAATATTCTATGCTATCTTCCCTATTTCTCTTCCTCCTTACCCTCACCCATTTGTTCATCCTATCCCTAGCTTCTCCTAATTCTTTATTTCTGTCTGTATCCCCTAAGCTTCACATTCTTCGGTCTCGAAATAATCAGTTTTCTTACCTCAGTTCCTTTGTTAATACTGTTTTGCTTGCCTAGAATTCCTTCTTTATCACTTCTCCCAGTGCATACCTCAAGTAAGAAAAATTCTGGAATGTCCTTTTACTCATTTCTGAACCTAAGACTACCCTATCCTATTAGGTTCCAATCAGTTGCTTCCTTTGAACTCAGAGTTCCTATTGTGGCCATTATAATTTTGTACTTGGGATTGCAGTTATTTGTATACCCAGTCTTATATCATTTACTTGGCTATAATTTACTTTAGGTAAATTACAGTTATTGGCATAATGCCTGACACAGAGTAGATATTAAACAAAAGATGTTAGACAAATGAATGAATGATCCTTATTGTTTGCAATAAGCAAGCCACCATCACCTCTTACCTGGATTTTTGCAACAGTCTAAGGTAATATCCTACATTGCCTCCCTCCTATCTTTTCCCCCTCTAATCTATTCTTACAAAAACTATTTTCATTATGTTACTCTCCTACTCAACAACCTTAAATAGTGCCCTGCTATACAGAATAAAATCCAAATCCTTCTGCCTTCCTCTCAAAGATCTTTGATATCAGTTGAATAGAGTCCCTGCTACTACCAAGTTTTTATGTATGTTGCTACCAGATCTAAATTCAGTTAATCTTATCCTCATCAGGAAGCCTTCTCTAACTAATTTATCCCTTACTGTTTCTCTTTTGTAATTCTACAGCATTACCTTTCGTACTGCACATACTGTAACCTAATGATGTCTTTCCTATATTGTTATGCACCTGTCTCTGGTATAGATATTTTGTTTTCCAAGTGAGATGGCAGACTTCAAATCTACCCAGGTTCTTTCCACACCAACTAGCAAAGGCCTGGGGACCTACCAGGTTTTCTGTTCACACTTTCATTTATTGATTTATTCCCTTATTATTATGTCTAATTTTCCCTTTGTTTCCTCCACTGTCTGCAGCTATTTTTGTTTTTAAAAGTACATTTTAATTATGATATTACAGTTGTCTCAATTTTTTGTCTCCCTTTTATGCTTCTCCTCCCTGACCACCCCCTCACCCTCCAGCATTCCCCTCCCCCACCCTGCCACAGTTCATGTCCATGAGGTGTACATGGGTTGTTCATGTTCTTTGGCTTCTCCATTTCCTATACTATTCTGAACCTTCCCTTGTCTATTTTGTGCTTACCTATTCTGCTTCTTATTCCCTGTACCTTTCCTCACTATTCTTCCCCTCCTCCTCCCCAATGATAATCCTCCATGTGATTGGCATTTCTGTGGCTCTGTTCCTGTTGTAGTTATTTGCTTAGTTTTTGTTTTTGTTTCTTAGGTTCAGTTGTTGATAGTTGTGAGTTTGTTGTCATTTTACTGTTCATACTTTTGATCTTCTATTTCTTAGGTAAGTCCCTTTAACATTTCATATAATAAGGGCTTGGTGATGGTGAACTCCTTTAACTTGACCTTAATAGGGAAGTATTTTATCTGCCCTTCCATTTTAAAAGATAGCTTTGCTGGATAGAGTAATCCTGAATGGAGATCATTGCCTTTCATGACTTCCAATACTTCCTTCCAGCCCCTTCTTGATTGTAAGGTTTCTTTGAGAAATCATCTGCTAGTTTTATGGGAACTTCTTTGAAAATAACTCTCTCCTTTCCCCTTGCTGCTTTTAAGATTCTCTCTTTATCTTTCATCTTGGGTAACTTAATTATGATGTGTCTTGGTGTGTTCCTCCTTGGGTCGAATTTCTTTGGGACTCTTTGGGCTTCCTGGACTTTCTGGAAGTCTCTTTCTCCAGATTGGGGAAGTTTTCCTTCACTATTTGTTCAAATAAGTTTTCAATATCTTTCTCTTCCTCTCCTCCTTCTGGCACTCCCGTGATTTGGATATTGGAACTCTTAAAGTTGTCCCAGATTTTCCTAAGCTTCTCCTCATTTTTTTTTTTTTGAATTCTTGTTTCTTCATTCTGTTCCAGTTGGGTGCTTATTTCTTCCTTTTGTTCTAAACCACTGTTGTGAGTCCCAATTTCTTTCCCTTCACTGTTTGTTTCCTGTATATTTTGTTTTATTTCACTTTGTGTAGCCTTCATTTCTTCCTTCATTTTGGGACCAAGCTAAATCAATTCTGTGAGCATCCTGATTACTAGTGTTTTGAGCTCTGCATCAGACAGGCTGTCTATATCTTTGTCACATAGTTCTTTTTCTGAAGTTTTGCTCTGTTCTTTTATTTGGGCCATTTTTTTTTGTCTTGGCACACCTGTTAGGTGTAAGTGGCAGAGCCATAGGTATTCCCCAGGGCCGATCAACCCTCTTTGCTGCATTTTGGTGCTGTCTGTGATGAAGAGGTCCAAGGGGGAACAATGTTGCTTGCTTCACTCTCATCCTACTTTCCATCACTTCCCTCACTTCCCACAAGCAGTTTGTGCCCTTTTATGTGGTGATTCACAGGTGGGTGGGTTTGTCTATGTTTTAGGACCCTGTGAGTCTCTCCAACCAACTCTCCTGTGAGGCTAGGAGTTTCTCCTGCCACCACAATCCCCACAGATTTTTTTTACAGCCTGGGGTTTTGAGTCTTTAGTTTCCCATGCAGAAACCCTGGGTTTTGTGGTCCATCTTGCTCCCCCCGATATTTCCCGGAGCTTGTCTGCATGCAAATGTGGGATTGCCCATGCAGTCTGCCTCTGCCCCTCCTACCATATGGATGAATATTTCTTTAACTCCTTAGTTGTTGGACTTTCATGCAAATGTTTTTCTGGCAGTTCTGATTGCTCTTTGTTTTTAAATTAGTTGTTCCTGGCTGGTGTAGCTCAGTGGATTGAGTGCAGGCCTGCGAACCAAACAACCTCGGTTTGATTCCCAGTCAGGGCACATGCCTGGGTTGCAGGCCAGTTCCCAGCAGGGGACACACGAGAGGCAACCATACATTGATATCTCTCTCTCTCTCTCTCTCTCCTTCCCTTCCCCTCTAAAGATAAACAAATAAAATCCTTAAAAAATGATTGTTAAAAAATTAGTTGTTATCCTTCTTTTGGTTGTGTGAGGAAGCAAAGTGTTTCTGTGTACATCTCCATCTTGGCCAGAATTCCTTGTCTGCAGCTATTTTAAAGGGCTTATTATTTAATTTATAATTAAAAGACAAAATTTACCTGGTATAAATAGTTTTCTTAAGGAAGTTTCCACCTCTCCTCAGTATTTTCAGAGCAAATCTTGTGTTATCTTATGTATATCTTAGCATGTTGTCATTGGAGAGATTTTAATATTATTATATATTTCTGTATATAAGACTGCTTTGTTATTCTTGTTAATTCAACAGTTATTAAGTGCCTATTGTGTGTGAAGAGCTTTAAAATACAATCTTTGATATGGAAAAATATATTTTATTATTATTTTAACACCAAAGATGCTCTCATTCCCCTCCTTAATAACTAGATAACTATTAACCTTTCTTAATAGTCCCCCTAATCATAGTATATTCCTAGACTTACAAGTAAGGACTTGGGCACTAAAAGAAAAGACACTTGTTTTCCACCTGAGCACAACACATTAACAATATTTCCTCTCCTTCCAAGACCATGCAGAAGATTTTTGTCAACAAGAGAAAATAGCTGGAGGAGAGGTTAGAAAAGTTATTTTAAAAATTACCCAGAATCAAGAAAAAAAATGTTCCTTAAAAATTACATATTTTTTCTTTCTCCTTCCTCTTTCAGCACTTCAGCTTCTAAATCAGTATTTTTCTGCTGAGTTCCTCAAACAATATTTGTCCACATTCACCTTTCTCCCATTATTTAATTCTACTGATTTTGTTTCAGTGCTTTCAATGGGAGAGAGGGGAAGAGAACAGACTTTTTCTACCTTGCCTACTTTTCATGGCAAAGCATACATACTTTTATTTTTTTAACCCTCAAATTCTCATCTTTTTCTAATCATTTTCTTTAGCTCCAGAGTCAGCAACACCTCAAACCAAAATTCTCTAAAACTAAACTCATAATCTTCCTCTAGCTACTACCTAAGCCTGCTTTTGCTCCCATCTTCTCTATAATTTTAACATGTCTAGGCTAGAAAGTTCAAAGTTGTCTTTATTCTTTCCTCTTCTTCATGATGCACACTCAATCAGTTACAAACCAAATCCTGATCAGCATTTCTTCCCATACTGATTGCCCTTAAGTCCTCAGTATCTCTTGCCTAGACTGATGTCACTTCTTCTACAGTCTTCCTGTTTAACCCATTCTATATATTGACAGAGTTCTCTTAACTCTAAATGTACTCATGTTACTCTGTCAAAAACCTTCCATGATTCTCCACTTCTTATGAAATAGAACACACATTTCTTTACCTGGCATTTAAAAGCTCTCTGCAGTTTAGCTCCCACCTAACTTCTCCAGCCTTTTTTTCCTAATGCACTAAAAGTTCCAACCATATCCAATCTGTGTGGGATTCTCAGAGTATCTCTCTTTCTACCTCTTCCATGTCTATACCTAAAATATGCTCTCTGCCTCTTGTCTCATTTGCCATGTTTGCCTATCAGAATCCTACTTAATCTTCAAACACGGGTCGGATCTCATCTCCTTCAAACAACCTTCCAAAATTGAGTGGCTTCCTCTATCTACTTAGCACAGTTCTTTGTTACTAGTGAGCCCTTACAAAGGTTTATGGAATTGAACTGGCATAAGAGCATGCAAACTTTAGGGAACTCATTGCCTGTGGGAATGAGACAGATTATGTTAGATAGTACAACTGGGCAAGAGGCTGGCACCAGAGTGAACATCCAGAACCTATTCCATTATATGTTTGAGTATCAAGCCAAATATCTATTATCAATATGTGTGTGTATACATGCACACCTGCCTACTTCCCAGGATGTTTAGCTATTGGAGTATCTACTTGGCTATGTTCCTGGGAGTGAATGTACCAGTGTGCACCCATAGATGTGCCTATACCCATAGACATTTTATTTCAAACCCTTGTTATAGGTTTGTTTTTATATGGTGCTCAGGTTAAATGTAATATGCAATAAAAATAGGTAATTTTGGATATTGGTTCTGAGCATATGGTTTATAGGCTTCTAGGCAGTTGCTAAGCAAGCCATTGTATTTAACTGTAAAGAATTAGTAGCAGGGTCAGCCCATAAGACACCTTTGAACACATCAGGAAAAGGTACTATTTGCTAAAGATATTTTACTTTCATTAGTCAGAAAGTTTTCATATGCCATTTTTTTTAGCACTATAGGCACTTGACTGCCATCTGCAGGAAAATGGTTAGACTATCTATATCTATCTATCAATCATCTATCTATCTATCATCTATTTCCTGTCTGCTTTGTGAAACGTGTTCTGTTGGACATGGTAGCCTTATATAGTATACAAACTACACAGTTTTATTCAGTTATCCAGCACAATAGCTATTCTAAAAAAGGTAGAAGTCTATCTCATTTAAGAGAAATTTGTATTTTCTGATTGGAAACAAGATGGCCGTTAGAGTTTCTTGCTGTTGTCTAAGTTGAGACATTATATTTTCTTTCCTGATTAGACCATTTTTTCAAGCTCAGGATGTGGATCTGATCAGAGGCATTGATAAAACAAGTTAAGGTTTTTCCTGTAATTAGTAGAAAGTTATTTTGTATAAAACTTGGATGGTCAAAGGGACATCAAAGATTAGTTGTTGCTTCTTAGTCCTCACAAGAAAGGGGGAGCCTCAGATTAGTCATATTGACACCTAGCTCCAAATCAAGTGCCAGCTATAAGACAAATTTGCCACTAAGGTAATTAGTCAAGAGTTTTTCAAATAAGGTGAAAAGGATGCCATATCTAAATTAAATTCTCTATAACAGTTAGGATTAGTGAAAATGATACTAAATGGTACCCAGTTATGTGTTTAATCCTGCTTTCTATATATTATATTTAACCGTAACATTCTTTAGGGTTGCTGTGATTGTTTTAGTAAATTTGTATTTTCAATGAACTGATTAGACAACTCATCATTTTATTTTTTTAAACTTTTCTTTATTGATTATGCCATTACATTTGTTCTATTTCCCCTCCTCCGTTCCCCTCCACCCTGCACACCCCTTTCCCACCATTCTCCCCCCTTTAGTTCATGAACATGTGTCTCAAGTTCTTTAGATTCTATATTTCCCCTACTATTCTCTTACCCTCCCCCCCATCTATTTTCTATCTACCGTCTATGCTACTTATTTTCTGTACCTTCTCCCCCCTTCTCCTTCTCCCACTCCCCTGTTGCTAACCCTCCATGTGATCTTCATTTCTATGGTTCACTCCTGATCTAGCTGTCCTCTTAATTTGCTTTTGTTTTAGGTGTGGTTGTTAATAACTGTGAGTTTGCTGTCCTTTCACTGTTCATCTTTTTTATCTTCTTTTTTGTAGGTAAGTCCCTTGAACATTTCATATAGTAAGGGCTTGGTGATGATGAACTCCTTGAATTTGATCTTATCT